GGGCATATTATTGCAGAAAAATCTATAAGCCTCTTATGCATATACTATAAATATATGAACGATATTTAAACTATTGATTGCTGATTGCTGTTCACATACCATTATTATTTTGAATACAATTTCATTCCTGTTCAACGTGTTCTGATTTTTGGATCTTGTCGAGTGACATCGTATAAGAATACTAAGCAATAGGAATAGCTGGGTCGTTTATATAGCAAAAACACAATTATAACACGTAACTAGAAATCTACAATTTTGGGATTTGGCCTATTATTCTACTAATGAAGATAAAGTCACTCCATACAGACCTAGACCATAACTCAACATACTACTTAAAGATCTTCATACGCCCAGTCAATTTACTTTTATCCAGATGTCCTTTAATCGTCCGAATGACTCAAAAGGATTGAACTTAGAGGGGAGTTTAATCGGTTGACAACTTCCAAATGAACTTCTTCATAGTATTAAATTTGAATATGGTTCGGTAAAAGACATAATATCTCACAGATGTGAAATGTTCTGCAGTTATCATAAACTGAAATTCGTCACCTTGGGAGAACAGGCACTCAAATGTGCTCCAGCAATAACCATAGTTGGTGGCAGTAGCCAACTGTAATGAATAGGGCTCACCGCCTGACCAGTGCTAGAAGAAGGTTCAGGGTTTTTCTCAAGAGCAGTATTTGATCTATAGGGTATTATCTAAAACATGCACAAGAAAATGAAAATTCATACACTTCGAAATATTCAGAACTGCCCACAAAAAGGGAACTTCGCCCTTCACCGATTGCTACATTGTTATCGGCGGCTTTAGATGTGACTATTTGTAAGATCATCTAAATGAATGAAAATATGTGTGTGCATTAAGTCCCTACTGTAGCAGACTATGAAAATATCCCTTTTGTTTACCGCGAAATATGCACTTACTCTTTTCGGATCCCCTATACTGTGTTAAGAAACTCAAAGTACCTTACTAACTGTCAACTGTTTCCATGAGTACAGTTATTTTTACTGGATCTTTGACTTGGTCTTCTATCTTTTTACAATTATGACCTTATCCGTCATGTACTTTGTAGATTTCCCCCTAGAAACCTAAAAGTACAAGGCTTGTCTAGAAGTTTGTTGTAATTACTCTTATAACAACACATTTCGTAATTTGCCAATAAACATTTGGTCCCTGAATCGGCGTTTGGCTTTTTTGGCAATTGATTCGCATCAGTCGACACTGCTTCAAGAACAGACCAGAGCAGAATTCAAGCCCACCACTATGTTACATGCTTGTTGTTTGCTTCACAATAAGTTAATTCGTTCCTAACTTGTGAACCACAATATGAGTTTTGCGCTTCAGTACGCTAGGCTGAATCTTTCTTATTCTCAATTGAGACCTGGCTTTAAGACACAAGACGTTCCTGAAATAAAACTAGCTGACTGCAAAGTGATAACTTGATGGGACGAATTCACCAGCTGTCAAATGCCTCTCATTGAATTAATAATATGCAATAATGAACATAGGCACTTACAATAGCCTGGCTCCAGATTCTTAGTGTAGCAGGATTCAATACTGGATGACCTACATATGACCTCGCTTGTCACCTGATGTTTTCGTATTCATTCCTAAAAAAATTTTCGACTTGCATCCACGCGTTCCCTTTCATTTTTCGAGGATCCCGATAGCCATCATTAGAGCGATGAAACTAACCCATAATGCAAAATTAATCTTCTGTTCATTAAATGAACCGCCTGAACAAAAATGGATAAATAATCTGGTCACCTTTCAAAGGTATGATAACTATCGACAATCTAATTGTATATAAACCTATTGTTTTTAGAGCTTTCGTGACTTAGTAATTCTGGAATTCGTGGACTGATAGCAGCAGTCGGTGACACATTTGTGATAAATTCTGAAATGAGTACTCTTGAATGTAGCAAAACGTAAAGCATGTGTTAATTAATCTGGATGTCTATTGCGTTTTGGAAAATTTTATGAGACCTATGCATACTGTTTAATCCCGCTCTTTAATGACAATACATTATTGGCATATATAGGGGCTGTAATCAGTTATTATCTCCGCAACAAAAAAAATCGGCAACTGCTGGCCTCCTTGGTCACATACTCAGAATAGATACTTTCGAAACTATCTACATAAGGTTCGAAGTACCCTTTCGAGTCGTCAACATGCTAGAAGTCAAGGTAGCTAATAAATTCATGGTTACGTTCTAGATCTCATCAGAATTTCGTACAACCCCATTAAATGAAACCATACAAATCGTAAACGAGCACACTGACCTTCCTAACTTACCAGAGGATGAGTTCAAAAAGTTATTATTACTATCGACCAAAGATATGCGATTTCGATTTCAAAGCGGTCAGTCAGTCACAACGTAGAACTTCGTACGTACGTACATCAGATCGAGTTGCCATACCACATTAGCACAGAGGGACACTTGAAAAGGGATTTATTTGAATTGCCGTAGAATCTGTCCTACAAACCATAACACGGTTTCGTTTAGGTTGCTATTCCTTCATGCGTTGACAAAACTCTTGGCAGAGAGGGTGTAAGAACTATTAATCAGAGTTCAAGAGTGTTCAGAAGATAACAGTAACCCGCGAATAGCCACCTGCAAGTGTTAAAAACAAAAGGAAAGAGAACGAATACTACCGCAGTTGCAAAGGTCTGTCTTTTTGCCTCCTGACTTCATAGGTGAAAAAATATTTAGTGCGATCGATCCTATACTAAGTCAGGCCTTGAAAAAAGCCCGTTCAATCACTTAATTGGTCAGGATGTATCAAACAAGGTGTCTAAAGAGGCATATATAATTGATCGAATCCCCACCTCGTGTTTCTTCCATTCGTACATATCAGTTTGAATTTGCATTCTAAAGCAATTGCACCCGGAAGAACGGAAAATAGAGTGCTTGTTCCCATCTCTTAGTACACTATGCAAAAATTGAAATTAAAATGTCAACTTGCTATCAATAATGCCATTGTCGAGATTGGATCTGATATGTAACGTGGACGCGATTCCGCTTTGGAAAATATTCTGATGAAGACTCATTATATCTGAACGAATGAACAGCTATCAACTTTCATAGAATATATTTACTAAACAACCCTTCTTGGGGTACATACTGTGAACCAGTACATGTTTTAGCTTGTAGATCATGCCTGTAAAAATGGCGTGTACCTTCCTTGAAGAAATATATTATTATCATTATTAATTGATAATAAACACGATGTTAATATTTCAGAACCGTTTGAAGTAACTGATACTCAAATTAATTCGTAAAAACTACGTTTCTCTGAACAAATCCTTGTTACAAAGATGAAATCATAGTAACACATTGGCAGAGTGCAGTTGTATATCCCTCCCTACCATGACAATCTCAGACTTTCATTAGTTATCCTCGTAATATCCTGTTTTAAATTATGAATAGAATTCCTTTCTTTAACTTTTGGGTCATTTCCCAGCTTTACTCATTTTATTGTGACAATCTATATGATTTTGTTGTCGTTACTACGTCTCTTTCCACAAATTTTATGCTCTAAAAAGCATCATCGTGGGGTATTCGACCCCTTCCGAATCTTCGTATCTTGTAGATTAAGTGATAATCACGTTTAGTACTTTTTAATTCTCATATGCTTTTTGCCGTTTTCCAAACAATCCTCACTATCATGATATGAAACAAGTATTTTGGTTGTAAGTAACTAACATTGTGACATGTTGATTTTAGACAGATCAAGAGAATTTGGAAAACAAACTAGTCAATCTTATTGTATCGAGCTTTTATGTTCCACTTTGTTTAATTATTTTGCATCGGTCAAATTTACTGATGAGAAAATTGTATCGTCTCTCAATTTATTATTTTAAGCAAGTTATGGTAATATGAACTAGCCATTCTCATACTATACACGGATTTATTGTTGAGGTCTCAACTGAGTGGGATATGACATCCTAATCATTTCTATTTCACAGGATTTAAAGTCTATCTATGATTACATTAATGTTTGAAACCTCTTCATAACCTCTAGATCACGGTATATAGTTATTTTTAAGACAAAGTTTACCACTACACTTCGATATTTTTGTTCCAGAACTCTTAACAGGTGCGTCTTAACGGTGATATACTGGCTACTTAAGTGGAGTTGATGACTACATGTAGTATATGTTGACGTTTGTCAACTTTTCATCCATACGACTATTTCATGTATATCATTTCACAGCACTAGCCTGTCAGTATTATGGTTCAATATTTCTGGTAGGTTTCATTGTCGACAATTAAACATAATGTCATCATAACAGTTTAAATAATCCGTTAGAGGAAAGTAATAATGGTAAATTTCTCAAGATTGTCTTGCATGATATGACCTTTCTACAACTTCACAGTAACATTGTCCAAGGCAAAGACCGACTGGTAACTTTATATGTTACCTTGAAGCAACCGAACCCTGTTCATGAGCTAACGTGTGCGACGAAGAAAAGACTCGGCTGATCAAGCACTCGGTGGAGATCGGTCTAATCACGTTTTTCCAAAATCCTGGCTGATGGAGAGAGGAGTACAATTTGTACTGACGTGTGTGAAAGGTAGTACTGAAGAAAATATTCCCTTCGTTGTTCAACTAAGCTCATTCAGGTTAGCTCCACTAGGTCAGGCAGAGGCAGGCATGATGTAAGATCGTTAAAATTGCCGTAACCAGTGTTCAGGGGTGAACATTAAACTTGCTTGTTATTTGAGTATGACAAGAGTATATCATCAAATGATGAATAATGACCGAACTTATTTGGCTACTTGTTATTCATTCAATGTCTGTAAGCAGGACAAACACAAGTCATACAACCCTCTGAACTGAAAATTAAGAAAGTAGCTTTCACTTTCATCTTCCAGCAGCTTATTGATAAAGAGAAGAATTTTTATTTTCAGAAAGCAACACCGTCTAAAAGTTGAAAGGAGTTTAGATCTTTTAAAATGCTTCTAAGTGATTCGATATTATTTGTTTTAACGCATAATGTGTATCTTTAGCTAAGCAACAGTCAACTCGAAAAGCGAAGCGGGTATTAAGGTAGTGGTGTTTTTGTTTGTCGAGTTCGTATTTACATTTGAAGAAGAAATGAAAAATTTCAGACGTCCTAGAACAGGGGAGGAATTTTATGAATCTTTTGAGGGAGCGCCTTTGTCTACAGCCGTACTTACGTATTTTAGCTTCCTGATATTAAACATCTTGGGGAGACTTCAAGATTTCCTGAGGTTTATTCATGTACTAGAAAATCATTCAGTAACAGAGATATCACACACTAAATCTTTCGTCCCGCTCTACTCATCCTATGAAGCTTTTTATACTCGTAATTTGTACCGAAGAGCACAAGACTGTTGGAATAGACCTATTTGTTCTGCTCCAGGTAGTGAAATTGTAATAATGGATCGTAAATCATCAGACTATGGATGGACGTTGAAGTAAGTTGAATTGAGTCATCATGATAAATAGTTTCTATACATATGGAGTTGAAATAAATTTAAAAGTCCTTGTTTTTCAACATGTTTTATTTACTGTAATCAAACAATTGTTAATCACAAAATCAGTTTCTTTTTGGTTTACATGAAAACTCTCACTCATTGATCATCAGTTGTAATTATTTAATTGTCCTCTCCATTTCTCTGGTGAGATATGCTGTTTGATTGTTAGTAGCTATAAATATTTGGCAGCGTCCCTATTAAATTGTTATTTCAACCTCTAAATGTTCAAATACTTCTCGTGATTAAAGTGTTAATGTTCTGCAGTATTTTTTCGTATAATTTCTTCAGTTTACTTTGTGTGGTAATAACGTTAGTAATAGTTTAAGATATATATCGCAGATTTATATGCGACTTCGCACTATCTATCACAATTCTGATTCATCACTGTATTTGATACATGGAAACTTCATCTGATCTTTTAGGAAAGAATGTATGGATCCTCTACGTCTATTTAGCGTTAACGAGATCCTTTAGCTTCTAAAAAGTAGGTTTTCGACTGTTGAGCTGCAAATTAAGACACATTTCCCGCTATTTTAGCCTTCGTAATCAGTTTTTTACGGTATGTAAGGTCTGATTACAATCATTTTTTGCATTTTAAGTTGAACGAAGGTAACATAAACAACCTCCCTGAAATTGAAAAATGAGTCAGGATAACTAACTTTACTCGTGAGTGAAACCGTCATGTATCCACCAACTCTAACCTTTAAAGCAAGTTTATGACATTGAGATTACACAAGACTTCAGATAAATATCTAAAAAGCAAACGAATAATCTTGAATCCGTCGATTGCCTTTCACGTATATAAATGATCAGTACTAAATCATTTTGCGTAAGAGTATTTTTGTATGTTGTTACTTATTATATTTGATTGTGTAGACTACTAATTATTCGAATGCTACTCTTCTTTTTACCACTGCTATTGTTGTCGCTTCCGTGACTCTGATCCTCATTGTGTTGGTCTATAGGATATTGCTGTTTAAACTTTAGGTAGTGTCCAAAGAGTATAGTCGTTTTTCTGCTAGAATTTAAGTGGTCAAAACAAACATTTTATACCACTAGGTTCCGCAGTCGAATACTGGGATATTTGGAAGTGTCCTAATTCTTATTCCTAGGAAGAAAGATACCCAGGAGAATCACTTTACCTCCCTTCGACCATTGTTGGGAAGGTTCTCGAAAACCCACTCCACAAGAAATCGCCAGTTTGTCAGTAGAGTGACTGAAATGTGCTGAACAAAATATGAATGCGCGACATTTTTTCTTCAGCCGTAAACACAAATATATTTAAAATTAGCCATCAAAATACTATTGAATCATTATGATAATGAAAATTATTTGAAGTGATTTTCTACGAATCCACTGAATAGTGCAATATAAGGCAGGTAGAACTAGATGAAAAAGAGGAAATGAGGAGGATCAAACAACACATTGCTTTGGGTATTGGAAGCAAACACCAAATGAATGAATAGCAACTGGAAACAACTGAAAAGTATTGCCCAGGACAGAGTTCGATGGAGAATGCTGATGGGCGGTCCATGCTCATTCACAAGGAGTAACAGGAGTAACTAAGTAAAAACTAGATGAGTACAACTGGACGTGTTATATTTGGAATTTGTAATAAGCACTCAATCAAGTACAAAGGAATCGTCAGTTAGTATAAATGCCACACTCAGCTACATGACAGGATTTTAGCTGGAATGATAATTAAAAATTCCAAGTAAATCTAAAGTTTAGAAGGCGCTTCCGAGTTCTAAAGTATAATTTTATTGCATAGTATTATGGAACACAACGAATCATTGGATAGAAGAAATTAGTTTAATTCTGAAAAAGCTGAAGTATATGGATATCAGGTGATTAAATATGATGTATAGTAGGAAAGATCTACAAATAAAAGTTTAGATTAAATCTTCTTCGTAGATGTATATTAATTAACTCTATATATTATCACTGTAAAATATTGGGTTATATTTCTGCAAATTTGAGCCTTAAGAAATTGTTTCAGCCGATACAGTTGAATAAATGGCTTTAGATGTTACAGATAACAATAATTTGTGTGTGTCTAAATTATTTAAAAAGGCGATATATGTTCTGATTACATTTTAGATACTGATACTCAGTGCCCTTTTGTCACAGAAAAAATTAAGTCGTAGATCGAGAGAATATCTACTTCATTTTGTAGTTTTACTGGTTAATAACTGTGTATTATGGGGAAACAAGATACTTTAGCAAAAATTAATAACTCCGATAAGGAACCTATTGCTTCTTATTACGCAAAATAACCTATGCATTATCCGACCGATGGCCACAAGTATAATGAGTTTAATTGCAGTTCAATTAAAAACATCTCCGAGTAGTATGAAGATCAAAAAGAGTCAGATTAAAGCATATGGTGATCAAGCTCCACATCATCCTATACAAACAGATCGTCTGTTTGGTCAGCCTTGAACGAAATCACTATGAGAAACTTGTGTTGCAAAAGTACTTGAAAAAGAACATACAATCTCCAATAATCTGTTATGATTTTAGGATAATAGTCAAACCTGAGTTACGCGATTGTGGTGTAGGGATTATGAAATTCTAAGGCATATAAATCACTTTTTAATAATAGTTTTTTTAGAAGACAGATTTAACAGGCACATTTTCGCAAACAACTTCAGATGAAAACTCAAGATTTTGCTCGAGTTAATAAACTGAGAGCTTAATTCATTTTAATTTCTTACTGTTTGATCTACGTGTCTTTCTTGATATATATTAGGTTCTCATGGGTTTGGAAAGTATAAAAGAATACTAAGCTAATGTTAAATTATTTGTTGAGAATGGATGTGAACATGTTGATCGGTTACTTGAACAATGAAATATTTCATGAGAAAAACTTACTACTGAATAATTCGAATCGGTTTTTTTTGAGGTTAAAGAGATGGTATATTTAGAACTTACGGTGTTGAGCGTAAGTTAGAATTATGATACCAAATGCCATTTACGTTTTCTAAAGCTACTGCTCTCACTAGCCGTGAACAGTTAAGACCACCTAAAAAATATCTCGGCGAAATATTGAGAACGTTTGGCAGAAAATCAGCCAACTGCTTTCTAAACCTTACAAATAGAAAAGCAAATTATTTAAGACTCTAGATAGTTTATTATGTATCAGTTATCTGAAGGTAATGTAGTGGACTTAGAAAAGATAAAAACTCGGTACATACTTACCTGACAGTGATGTAAAATAAAGGCTGGTACGCCTCCGATAACAGTTTACTGTACTGATTGTAATGCGAAATGATAATATCTGTAAATACAAGAAAATTCGCTGGCTAGATTGCTATGTCTTATTTCCTGATTGGTAGACATGGAACCAAATCTATAAGATAATTTGTATTTGGTTAGTACGTGATATGTTTACTGTCAGAAACTGTCAATTGTATAAAATTATTATTCACCAATTAAGGTCAACATTATCCTAATTTCTAAAGGCTTTTACTTGCATGTCGCCATGCACTTCTAGATGACGTGCATAACTTTGTATTTTATACATAATTATCTTTTATTTTATGAAGAATTGAGAAGCATGTTATTAAGATTTTGCTAAGTATGAAAGCCTTTCGGCAAAAAGCGCATTTGTTAACCTGAAAAGTTCAATTTTGAATGCTGCTGAAAATGTGTATGTTTTGATCTCAACCATAATTTTCATTTTATTTATGGAAACCAAGCAAATACCTAACAATAACAGATCTTTGTGAATAAGTTCGAATGTTCCCTTTAAATTATTTATGGGTTCATACAGTACTGCTTTATTATCAGGTTGTCGTATACATACCTTTGGAAAGTAACGCTAATGATGGTGATTTCCATATAAATTTTGTATTGTTCATTACTTTCTTTATCGATTAAGTTGTCGTGTGTAAAATAAACCTAAACCTTTCACTTAGTGCTTACATTCGTTTTTCTACCGTTCATTTCAGTTTTACTGGAACGAAATCGAAAGTTTTAAACTTAGGATCATATAATTATTTGGGATTCGGAGATCCCATCGGACCTTGTACTAATGCTACAGAAGAAGCCACAAGAAAATTTGGTGTAGGTGTAGCAAGTTCTAGACAAGAGGCTGGAAGCTTAAAATTACACAAAGAACTCGAAGATTTGGTCGCTGAATTTGTTGGACAAGAAGCAGCTATAGTTTTCAGCATGGGATTCTCAACCAATTCATTAAATCTGCCATGTCTAGTTGATAAAGTGAGTTATTTTTTGGTATGAATTTATGAACAGACATTTGCATAGTTGTTCATTAGTGTTTTTGTTCTTCTGTTGCTGATATTCATTGATAAGTTTTAGTCAGTCTCTGTTAGTATAATATACACACTGAGCTCATGATTTGATATTTTCTTTCCATTACAAGTTTAATAACATATTTTAACTGAGGGTCAGAATGAAATGCGAGATGATAATTTTGTCCTATTTAGTACTCATCAAGTGCATATGCATGGAACCTTATGTTAATGTTCACACTGCTACTTGTGTCTGGTACAATTCTCGATATTTGAAAAACTGAACTGTGTATACCTATCATGGAGGTATTTACAGCAGCTTCAGATTCAAACGGATGTTTTGAATTAAAATTAATCTTCTTTATGTAAGGTTTTATCTGTTAAATTATACTTACTTTACATATATATCTGAAGAAAAGCTGTTAACTAAACAGTTTTCATATCCCTTTCACTAAGTTACACAGTATCGATGACCTACATCAAAATAGCTGGTCCTTCAGTTGTATTTGGTTTTATTGTATGTCTATTTATTTCCAAGGTATGTAATTTTCTTGACACTTTTCAACAACAGAAAATACTAACAGTATGGGGATATGTGGAGATTAGTGTATGTTGTTGATATCACAACTTTATTAATCGTCTATGAATAACTGTGTCAGGTATTAAGAAAACTAGTTACTCCACACATACGTTTATTTATCTGAACGCATATGCAATGGTACAAGGGGCACCAAATACATATGTATCACACAGTAACAATAAGGTTGTGAAGGGATAGAAAATATAAAGTACTTATAATAAAAGAAAGAATAACAACGAACAGAAATTAGTGTATGAAAGTAAGATAATAATGATGGTAATAATAATGGAAGAAGCGGTTCTGTTAGTAAAAGTACGACCAGGAAGAATTCTACTAGTTAAAGAAGTTACGTTCACTTTTATGAAGAACGTTACGACAGGATCGCCACTGGCTTCTATACTGAGCCATGTCCGATAACGTCTCTAGCCATTGCGTTGCACTGTCTCTAGGACTCCAACCAGGAAGTCGTGAGGGACCAAGAGAAGCCAGCCCTGTACAGCCTTCTTTCATACCACGAAACCGTGTCATACGCCGACTACCTCTCTGCTTTTCCCAACCGGTCCGGGAGTCTGCAAATTATGCACGACGTGGAATTCTCCGGGACGACAGACGTAGAACATGTCCAAGCCACCAAAGTTGATGTTTCGCTGTTCCCGAGCACACGATGCTGACCTCTGCACTATTAATATGGTGTTACCGCTGGATGTCAGCAATCCTTCAGAGACAATAATGATAAAAAACAGATCTGTTTAACACCCTCAACTCGGAGAGGTCAGATCTCAAAAGCACAGAGTAAAACTGCTCTCACCAACGCGTTGCAGATCCCACCTTTTGCAGCCAGACTAACACCACGAAGGCGCCAAAGATGATCCAGATAGGTATTTCTAAAGGAGCGGCAGTCTTGTACACAACTACGCCAGCGTTAGCTGGTGGCATTGTGATTAATCTGAGTCCAGGTTTGAGATGCAGAGGGAGGACGCCAGGTGGCACATCGGTGATGACTGTGTCAGAAGTTAGTGCTAACCAGAAACAGGTTGAATTTGTGAGAAATTGCAGTAGAAAGTTATTATTATCTGTCTTGTGACCAACAAGTTCCCATCGGTCACCTGAACGACTTTCCTCTGTGACTAGATGCCTGACCTGAGCATTCAAGTCTCTAGCTGGTGCTACAATATCTGTGGAACTCAATCTCTTTAAAAGGACAGTTAACTGGTGGCAAAATTCATTTTTGATCACATCCGGGCTGAAATCTGAAGGAGTATAGGCGGAGATGACAAAAAGACATCGTTTCTCACAACGATTTCTTCACACTTTAATGGAACTTTCTAATCTAATACTACATAACCGACTATCAATGGGGATCCAAAAGATCAGTGCTGCTTTGGCTCTAGCGTTTAGTGTGACAACAATGCCAGCAAGACTAGACGAAGATGCCACAGGGCCTCCGGATAAACGCACATAAAATAAGCCTTCCGAAGCTACAGATGGCGAGAGAATTTGTAGTAATTCACTGGAGTCTTGAATACGGGTCCCGGATAGACAACAGGCATCGATGTTGAGACTTTCTGAAGACATAGCCGATCCTATATGTTGTCCGATCTGAATTATTGTGCCAACATTGAAGGAGGTCAGTTTGAATGGCATACATGGTTTCAGAAAGACTGTCTCAGCATTCGTAGTCAATGTCAGCATTCAACTTTCAACCAGTCAGTGGCTTGAGATCATTAAGGTAGGACAGGGTTTGCATCATAGACGAGCTGCTGTATAAGTTGGAATATAAAATACGCAAATCGAGGATAAGGAGGAGTACATAAACGACGAAGTATAAAAGGAACAAAAACGAATGTTATCAAATGATTGTGAATATGACTTGTCTAAATGAGCGTTGAAACAATAGCAATTTTTATTGTAGTAATTATCACTGATTTGCGTGTAGGATACTGCCTGAGTGCCCAAACCAAAGCAGATGGTTTTCTAAGGGGTCACTCCCCAAGACCTTAACTTAGAGGTTCGATCCACAAGGCATTGGAGCAAAGTTAAGAGATGTTGTCTCATGGTAGCCGATGAAAAACAATAGGTTCATACGCTATTCGTTCCCTCAGGATCTCGGAGTCAATGTGCATCACTAGTTTGGAATCAAGTTTTCTTAACTCCCCTAGGTGAATCCTCCGTACCCATTGACTCGGTTAAAGCGCCAGACATTTGCTTTTCGTCCTCTTAGTTTTGTCAAACAACATCCCGCCACGAGAAGACAGTGAGTAGGACCTTCCTGTCAGTGGTTGTACGCACGTGGCCATGTGAAAGCATTTTGAGAGGGAGAACGAACTTCCTCACCCTCGGCTGTGCCAGGACGTTTGGGGGGAGTAGGAACAACAGAGGGGAGGACAGCATGCATATAGCATATAACCTTTGAACCTAGCACACAAGAATAGGGTCATGCATTATGCGATAGCCTTTGACAGATCAGAGAACCTGAAAGTCACGAGAACACCATCAGGGAATATGAAAGGCTAGGTACCCCCTCCACATATAACTTATCTAGACCTGAACTGACACGTTACGATCCTTGAAATCAGCCAATGTGATAAAACACATTTGAAACGATATAGTTTGTGTAAGGCTCTACATAGTTCTCTCTATGTTTTGATAAAATGCAAATGTATCCATTCGCCTTTGACTAATATGACAGTCATAAACAAGAATTAGGGGCGAGGATGAAGTGAATTTTAAAGCGAAAGTTAATTTACTTGAATTATTTTACAGAATATTATATCAGTAATTGTTAGGCCAATAATTTGTCTCTGGTTGGAAACCAGGTTTCCTGTTAAAATCCAGTCATCGTTATAAGGTCTCCAAACTAAGATGGCTCCAGCCAGTCTAAATCGAAGTTAATTATTTAAAATAGTTATCGACATATTGATGTAAAGTTAAATATGGACTTCAGTGACAGCTCTGTAAAAAAATCTAAACTAGAGATCAGAGAAAACCATTCAATAGAGTCAAAAGAATCAACAAACGAGTTTTACTGATTGGTTCATTGTAATCCAAACAGTTTTGAAATACAAGGAAGTTATTACTATTAAGTTGGAGTTAACTCAGTGTATAAAGAAAAAAATTACTTGATTGGTTTCACCCTAAATATATGTTTGATAAAATGAATATTCAAAAACAGAAATTATTAAAACATTGTATAACATATAAGACTATTTAGTATAAGAAATTGGGTTTTTCTGTGGTGGCTCCTACATATTTCTCCCCCGAAAATCACATTGACCAATAGGTAGAACTGATTACGGTTCTACAATCAAAAAGTTATTTATGGAAAATAGTTATATGACAGGCAGTTTAAAGCTCAAGAAACAAATTGTTTTTTAGCATATGAAAATAAAATTTTCTGCGCAAACCACCGACTACAGTCAGTCATATGCAGTGTAGAACCTCGGATATATATCCATCGTTTCGAGTTGCCACACTTTAGCACATTTATATGAAGTCGATAATACAAATTCACTAACAATAGAGGCAGCAACTGTAATAATAGTAGTAGAAACGATTAGATACAGGAAGAAAATGGAAGTATACTAAGATTTTGAAGCTCAGAATTTAAGATAAGTTAAGGAGTTAATGCATCTACGCATACATTAAGACCTACATAAACAAAAATGAAGATAACAGCACTTATGTGTATATTTTTTTTTACACTGTAATCATTACTGTAAGCGGTGTCATACAGATCTCTGTTAGCTGCATGTTTAGTTTTGTATCTAAAGTTAAATACAATTCAAATGTAAATCAAGGCAACATTTATAAGCTGTATAGCTGTACGGACTACATGTATTGTTTGTAGGTAGAGAGTGCTGAGTAGGTAAGCAGTATTGTCTACCCCTCTTAGTCTATTGTAAAGTATAAAATGTAGTATATAATTTCAGTTACCAGAATAAAATTACATAATTATCAAGAAGTAAAATAAAAGCAATAAAATAATAAAACGAGATGTGTCAAGGACAATTGTCCACTTAAGCGGTATGCGAAAGATGGAGGATGAATTAAAAACATGGTGATAATAATAAATGACTGAAAATTATAAAAAAACATTAAGATAAAGTATCAGTAACCAACTGACTATGTATGAAAAATTACGTATTAGAGTCATGATATGATGACATCTGGATATGTTACTTTTGGACACTGCTCAGGTTTGAACTGTAGAAGTGATACCGCCTCTGGAGCAAAATCATCTATAAGATATTGCGTTAATGAAGTTGGATTTGTAAGCAAACTAATTTGAAAAAACTGTTTCAACGGTTTTGCTTGTTAAACATAAATCTTAGTATGATTTTAACTGGAATAAATGATAATGTGACTTAAATACATAATAATCCTATGTT